AAATTTATTTTGTGAATTCAAATCCTGCAGTATTTTTAGAATTTGGAAAATTATTTTATATCTAATACATTGTAGGGATGAGTATTTATGGTTTACAAACCCTGCTTCTTTGTTTACCTGATTTTTAAAGTTAAAAAAAAACTAAGTAGGTATAGAGAGAGGTAGACAATACCCATTAAGCCTAAGCTAATAGTACCAGGGTTTCCACAATAACCTCGAAAACACAGGTGGCGGCTCAGGCGGCATGCGTAGGAACCTCGTAACATAACCCTCATTATATAATATATAGATAAATATAATATAGAAATATAGACACCAGCGCCCGTAGCATGGCTACGGGTGATAGCCGCGACGCGTGCGATAAAATTGAAATAAGCGCGCCCTAATGGCTATCTAAATTAGATCTGATTGAGACAGTCAATAGCGCGCGCTTATTTCAAATTCATGGCGCGCGTCGCGACTATCATGCGTAGCCATGCTACGGGGGCAGGTTTAATTATACATTTTTCAAAGGCGGTGGAGACAAATTTTTGTGATTAGCTTATGCAAACCATCTTTTTGGTGCCACCGTATTGAGTGCAAGTCTCATTTTTCGGAAATCGACTAAATAAAATGAATATTTGGATTTAAAGGCGGTTGTTTTTTTCCAAATTCTAACAAGTTTGTAAAATATTTTTGTGAAATGTTTTATTTTTTTAGCAAAAACCGATATGAATGATTAATCGAACCAGAGATATCGATTGAAAAAACATCGGTTATTCCGATTACTATAATGCCACTATGAAAAATTATGTTTATTATATTATAGTGAGTTTTATATTACAATTCTGTACATATTTCTCTCATAATTCTGATTGTTAAGCCATTAATATATTATTGTTCTCTCAGATTACATAACAATAAGCAGATGGAGCGAAGCTGCAGCGCCAGCAAAAGCGAATGGAATATGGAAGTTAAGAATATAACACGCAACAAATTTAGTGTTGTTCTATTGGATAACGTTTTCACATCTAAACCGCCGCAATTATAGAAGACGGTCTCTCCGTAAATGCCTCTCCGAAGCGTCTCCCGTCATATATGATACTTACTTGTCAGTATTTGGCGCGGCGAGTAACTCGGTGGCACGTGTAATGAACACCTGAACTAGTGATCCGAGATTGCCGCTCTGTGTGTTGTTCTGGAGGAACTTCTGCAGTAATGCTTCTAGACTTGAGTCAAACATTAGTTGTTCTTCCCTGTAAATAAGACAATTATATCTGCAACATGCACGTAGAAAATTTCGTAAGGTCCGCTAGTTCGTCCCATGGCTTAGTTGGCATTGCGTCTGGCACAGCTTTGTTGGAAGACGTTGGTTCGAATCCAGATCGAAGTTATTTTTTTAACTGTTCAATCTTTGTATTAATAATTTTAATGAAACTAATAATTTCACAAAAATAATTGCGTATCATGGTGGTTAAACATCGTGGCTTCAATAAAACTAAAAAATTGCAATTATTAAAGCGACATCTTCAGTCAGTAGTTGTTGGTAGCTGTAAAGGTACCTAGCTGAGTGAAGAAATATATTTCTCACAGATGGCACTACGGCAAAAAAGTCGTTAAAAACAAAAAACAAAGACACGACAAGCACGTAGAAAAATTCGTAAGATCCGCTAGTTCATTCCGTTGTTGAGTTAATTTAGCGCTTGGCAGGTTTGCTGGACGACGTTGGTTCGAATCCACCCACACGGATCGAAGTGAATTCTTTTTAGTGTTCTATCTTTGATTAATAATTATAATAAATTTGCTTGTTCGATCGTTTATATCAACTCCAAATCCATTCTATCCATAATTTTTTGTCAATGTTGAAGACAATGTTTAACAAAAAAACAATACCTAAAGTAATGTAAAAATGGAACTTACGCAGACCCTGGTGGAGTGATGTTAAAGGCCAACAACTGATTCCAGAACGGGTCATTGGGGCAGATCACCTCAGTGGAGCAGAAGCGCGCCAGCAACTCGTTGGATAACAGCTCTGTGTACCGGCTTATTGCCACGCCCATTGTTATACTGAAATTGAGGTTTATTCTATTATTTTGGGTCATCATCAGTCGGTTTGGAACGTTTATTTTATTTTATATTTTTATAATATCAAGTGACGGAACGAACAAGTCGTGCGCCTGATGGTAAGCAAAACGCCTGTCCATAACAGTTGCAGTGCCACTCAGAGCTTTAAATCGCAAAGATCTGAGGGGCACTGCCACTGCGCCCTTCACCCTTAGACATAAGTTGACAAGTCTCATGTGCCTGTAATTTCACCAGCAATCTTACCCTTCAAAGCCGGAACACAGCAATGCCGATATTACTGCTTCGCAGCAGAAATATGTAAGACAGTACTATTCTGAACGAATTCTTTTACAAGGAGCTCTACTGCTACTAAATTCACTTCACACGTTTCATCGCGATGTTGTCCTTTACCGAAAAGGTCACGTTAAATTCAAATTAAATTTTACATATAAATTCCGAGAAACTCAGGGATTTTGTTTGAGAGGAAATCATTAATTTTTTAATTATTATTTTTTATTTTTTAATTCATTAAGCTACCATGGCTTTATTTTGGCTATCTACTATAAATTCTCGTCTCACTTATGGACTAAGTGATTTTTTTAAATATGACAGGATTCCATGGCAATGACACTGTGGACGGGGACAGGGATTCAAGCTTCTTTAATGATATCAAGCGAAGGGACAAACAAGCCATACGCCTACCCATAACAGTAAACCGTGAAACACACAGAGAACGGGTGCGGATCGGCCACGCAAACACACGGACTTAGACCCGCCGCGCTTCTGACCCGACACGTACCCGACTTGCACCCGCTGTCTGTGTGTGTCGAGCTTAAAACTGCAAAGATCTCTAAAGCACTCACGCTGTGCAGTCACCTTGAGACACAAAGTTGACAAGTCCCATGTGACTGTAACTTAACCAGCATTCTTAATCTTCAAAACTAGCGTTCTAGTTCTCACATTATTGTTTGGTGGCAGAAATAGGTCAAGTGGTGGTATTTCCCAGGACAAACTTTCACAATAAGCTCTACTCCTGCTGCTAAGTGTTTCTACAGTAGCCATACTCTTCAGAAACAGAATGCACTAATGATCACATTAATGATTGGCAACAAGAATAGGTAATGTGGCAGTATGTCTATTCTATTTCCTTAATGGCGGCCACTAGGCTTGGGCCAGTGTCAGTTTTGAGGAATGCAGTCAGATTATTTTGATCAACAGTTTGATGGTAGAATGTCCCTGGGCAATGTCAGTTGACATTAAAAAAAAAACGTCTTTCACAAGGAACTCACTGCTAATAAACTTTTATTTTGATGAACTAACAATATTCAATATGTTAACAGTATTCCAATGCACCAGTATTTGCAATAAACAAACTATACCCTCAACTCACTTAAAATAAACAAACTGACTCGGAAGTAATTATTATGAACATAAAATATATTTGTCAAATTATTCACATTAAGATACAGTCAGAGTAATTATAAACTTTGATGTAACATACGTATATTGTGATATAACCAGGTGTGAGAATCTATGAATATAAATATGTATTTATATTAATAGATTCTCACACCTTGCTGGTTATATCATCATGTAAATTTCTATTAAATTTAATACTAACCGTTAATGACATAAATATGACAATTTTGGTATAGAGATAGATTGGACTTAGAAGAAGCATATAGGTTACTTTTATCACAAAACAAAATAAAAAAAAAGTCAAAGGGGGTGAAATATGTGAAGAAAATTTAAAAGTATGTAGAACCTATAAAACTATGAAAATTAGTATAATTCAGAAAGCTACTTATTCTACGCAGACATAGTTGCTGGTTCCAGGTAGTAAATCAATAAATAAAATATTCATGATGATACACTGCCTTCGTTAAAATAAACTAAGTGTTTAAAACTTTAAAAACCAGCCTTATAAGGTTGTAATAAATTTTGTTCAAAAACAATGTTAGCATTGTATAATAATGTTAGCATACTTAGGTATACCATTGTTTCTGATAATTTTATTTACGTGAATGCTAATTAATTTAAACACTGACTGTACTTGCTTATCATAGCACTAATAACTAAAGTATGTGCATCAAATTAATTAACTACACTTCTCAATATGACATATAGCTTTTATAAAAACAGGCATCTACATACAAATGCATATAGCACTAAAATTTAGATTTTTCTGTAACTATACCAAAATGTATACCTGCGGAAACGGTTTTGTTGGTTACCGGCACCTAGCTTCACTTACTAAAGCGAAAATCGGGCAGTCATTAACTAAATAACCGTATTTTGAACACAAAAAGTAACTACGTGATACGTTTATGTTGTCATAGAAACAATGCAGTACTTTGATTGTGTTTGCAATTTAAACCAATACTAACATCTAAATTACGTATATATAAGTGTAGCAATTATGGGAACGCCTTATCAAGACTTAAATATCATGTCTAAATGAGGTAAATAGTAGTTTAGAGCATCATTAAAATATAGTGAAAAAATGTCACTTAACGAATAATCATGATCAAATATAATACGCACCTTTGTAGTTAAACGTTGTTACGATTATAAAGTTGTAAATAAAGCCGTGTTTATAGCTAATTTGGTGGTTTTCACCGAATTTTGTAACGCCACGAAACCATCGCCGATTTGTCACTTGTCAAAGTATGACATGTAAAATTATTTTTAGGTGAACGCATCTTTTTGCGATAAATTGCCGGTTTATTATCTGTTGCAATTACCGGACAAAGAACGAGTAGCAACTTCCGTTTTGTTCAATTTGTTCATTTAATAAATCGTTCAATTTGTTCGTTCAAATTATTTTCTGTCAAAAACTTGCTTGTTTTGTCAGTTTTTTATTGTTACTTATTTTGATTTCGGCGATGTGCTGAAAATAAAAGTGCAAGATCAACGAAATTTCATCAATTTGACGCCATGGCGTCGTCCTACAAAGTGGATGTTATATTCTTCTTAAATCCCTACCAGATGTGGGTAGCGGTACAAAAACCCGAAGGCGGGATTTTCTTCGAACAAATTGGTGTATACGGGGTTCTGCCAATGAAACCGAATTTAGACATGCTTGACGGCGGAATGAAGAGTAGAAGAAGTGAGGAATGGATGCCTGGTGTCGTATCTCTGATGAAAGAGTTGTTAGAAGATGTGGACGTCTTCTTCTGGCCGGTTCACGTTGATCGAACGTGAGTAACCAACATTTTTGATTTTTCTACATGGGTACATTTACAGATAAGTACTGAAAAAGTAGTGTGTAACTGTATAATTTCATTTTATATCATTATTTATACAAAAATCAAACACTAGTCAAAATTAGTGAGTGAAGAAATAGAATTTTCACAGATGGCGCTACGGCAAAAAAATCGTTAGGAATGAAAACAAAGATCTGCCTAAGTGTTCGATCTGTAATCATAACAAACTAGTGGAGTAATTTCACAAAAAATAATTGAATGTCATGATGGTGAAACATCTTTCAATAAACTTAATTTATTACCACGGCGGGAACTTGCAAGAAAATAAGTGTGTTCGCTTTCTTTTGTGTGTAGCTTACGTTTATGATTTGTGTTTGCAAATTTCCTGTGTTAAAAAGGCTATATTTCTATTTTTATATATCTGCCGATCGCCGGTGTGTCGGGTATGACGCTCTTTTTCTAAATTTCATATCGGTACCTTTCACAAACTAGTAGTACCTTCTTTCTTACTTTCGTATTATAAAATTACATGTCTAACCACTTGTTTGAACAAAATCATTAAGTTTGGTATACTTCTGTCATATGACAGTTTTTTTTTTTGTACCAATTAATTGATTAAATAAGTTTAGATACGTCAAAACCATAACTTAGAAAGTGTATTCGAGAGTAATGTTGTCTCTTACTATTTTTACCATTATGTCCCTATTTTTGTCACAAAAACTGCTTTTTTTTTTTCTCTCTTAACGATGCGTTCAGTGTGTTATTTTGTTCTCAACATTGTATGTTTGTTGCGTTCCGTTTTGTGTTTTTTTTTTTTTCTTATTCTTTGATTGAACTGTGCTTTAATTTTTGTTACATATTTTATTGTTTATTTCACTCATTGTTTTATTCTTGGCTGCTGGCGGGTTACAGATTAAACTGTCGATTTTAGTACTTATTACTACTTATATTATAAATTTAGTATATTATTATTATTTATTTATTACACCATGGATATCTCGTTATGCAATAATAGTGATTATTTTGTCTCTTGCTCGTCAGACGAGGACAGCTTTCACAGCTTACCCCCTTCCTTACATCAAAATTTGGAATCCATCTTTTCTGATGTGCCACGTAATTTTAATGTTGCTCACATCAACGCACAGAGCATTCCGGCTCATTATCCTGACCTACTTGCCTCTTTTGATGTAAGTAATATTCACGCTATCCTTGTTTCTGAATCTTTTCTAAATTCTTGTCTCTCTTCTACTTCTTACTCCTTACCTGGTTTCCACTTAATTCGCAATGATCGATTAAGTTCATCTCACGGCGGGGTAGCCATTTACTTGCGTAGCTACATTCCCTTCAAAATTATTAGTAAATCTGTTCAACCACCACCTCCCAATACGGCTGAGCATCTTTTTCTTGAGGTAACGCTTTCACATGTAAAAATTCTTCTAGGTGTTTATTATAGTCCTTCTCTTACAATAGACTACTTCCCCTCCTTCGAAAATCTTCTTGAAGACTTGTTACCATCGTATGACCACACCATTATCATGGGGGATTTCAACACCTGCCTCTTGAAGAATGATGTTCGCACGAATAAACTTCATACTGTTGTCAATTCTAGTAATCTTCATGTTTTGCCCCTATCTTCAACTCATCACTTTCCTAATTGTTTGCCCTCTCTTTTAGATTTGATAGTGGTTTCCTCACTTAATCACGTCGACAAGCATGGTCAGTTTACTGCAGAGGCATTTTCCTACCACGATCTAGTGTACCTTTCGTATAAGGTTCGTCCTCCTAAGCCAAAGCCCAAAATTCTAATGCAAAGAAATTTTGCCAATATTGACATTACCAGACTGCGTGGGGATGCCAGTGCCATGGACTGGTCAGTTATTGAACAGGCCGATTCAGTTGATGAACAGTTGCAACTTTTTAATTCCTCGCTCATTCAACTGTATGATATCCATGCTCCTGTTCGTCCTGTGCGCGTCAAGCACCTTCCTGCTCCTTGGCTCGATGATGTTATCCGCAAGCATATGGGCATCAAAAACCGGGCTAAAATAGTGTTTAGAGCCGACCCGTCTGATGCCAATCGGGAAAAATATCATCAAGTTCGAAACCGCTGTAACACTATTATTAGAGATGCACAACGTCGTCACGTACATAAAGCCGTTGAAAACGGGGACCCAGCGAAGGTCTGGAGGTTTTTGAAATCTTTAGGTATTGGAAAAGTTCCTAATAGCAAAACTTCTATTGACGTTGACCTTAATCTCCTTAATACTCACTTCTCCTCTTCTTCTTCTATTGATAACAAGGTTAAGTCAGATACTCTGCAATTTCTTTCTGAATTGCCATTACCTAATATTCCTTCTTTTGAACTCAGCCAGTTCACTGTTGGTGATGTCAAGAGGAACATTCTCTCCATCTCATCGAATGCCGTTGGTTGTGATAGCATTAGTCGTAATATGATCATTCCGCTCATTGATATCCTCACTCCTGTCATAACCAAAATCCTTAATACATCCATTTCCACTGGTACCTTTCCATCTGCTTGGAAAGATGCCCACATCATTCCTCTTCCAAAGAAAACGAATCCCTCTTCCCTTTCTGAATATCGCCCTATTTCCATTCTCCCTTTCCTCTCCAAGGTCCTTGAAAAGCTTGTCCATCATCAACTCACCCTTTTCCTTACTCGTCACAATCTTTTTAATCCTTTACAATCCGGTTTCCGCTCTGGACATAGTACGACTACTGCTCTTGTCAAAATCTCTGATGACATTCGACTGGGAATGGAGAATCATCAACTCACCGTCCTTACTCTGTTGGACTTCAGCAGTGCCTTCAACACCGTTGATTTCGACTTGTTGCTTGCGCTGTTTGATTCTCTTGGCATTTCTCCGGCAGTGACTGGCTGGTTCCGCAGTTACCTGTATGGGCGGCGACAGCGCATTCGTTGCGAGGATTCATTCTCTTCGTGGTGTAATGTTGTTGCTGGTGTACCGCAGGGCGGCGTATTATCCCCTCTTCTATTTTCTATTTTTATTAACTCCATCACTTCTTCACTTTCTTCTTCTTACCATCTCTATGCAGATGATCTCCAAATATATACACAGGCCCCTCTAACCAACTTACGTGACGCAATTTGTGCTACGAATACAGATCTTGAGAGGATCCTCACCTGGAGTCAATCATTTGGTCTCAGTGTCAACCCTTCCAAAACACAATGTATAATCATTGGCAGCCCCTGGTTCCTAACGCGTATTAATCCTTCCTTACTGCCACCTATCACGTTTGATAGCGTTCAAATCCCACTCAGTGCCACCGTTAGGAACCTTGGGGTTATTTTCGATAAGTGCTTATCGTGGAGGCCTCATGTCACTGAGTTAAGTAGGAGGGTGTTTGCTGCGCATGGGTCTCTTCGGCGTTTAGGTAATTATCTTCCCATTCCGACGAAAATCAGTTTAGCACAATCACTCCTTTTGCCTATTCTGGACTATGCAGATGCGTGCTATCCTGATTTGTCTGAATGTCTCCTCGGCAAACTAGAGCGGCTGCAGAATCTTTGCATTAGGTTCATTTTTGGGTTACGTAAATTTGACCACGTCTCCGATTTTCGCTCGAAACTTAGATGGCTACCCATTCGTCGTCGTAGAGATCTCCGCGTTTTATCCCTACTGTACACTGTCCTTTTTAATCCAACTTCTCCTGCTTATCTTAAGAGTTGTTTTGAATATCATAGCAGTACTCTCCCTCGCACCTTGCGCTCTTCTTCTACTCTTTCTCTGAACTGTCCTATCCATTCCTCAAAATACTTTTCCAACTCCTTCACTATTAGGAGCATCAAGCTGTGGAATGACCTGCCTGAGTCGATCAGACGAGCAAAGACTATTGAGTCATTTAAAATCCTAGTCAAGGCTCATTACCTTAAATTATAAATTCTACTCTGCTGTCTTATTTATTGGTTTTTTTTTAAATTTTTTTTTTTTTATTTTCCTCTTCTGTGGTGATAATATATTTATTTGTATGTATTATATTAGTATTTAAGTATTTATGTAATTTATATGTTAGTAGATATTTATTATTTATTTCATTCATATATTATGATGTTTAATAATAATATCATATTTATTGCGCCCTCTATTATTATTACTACTTTTAGTTTATCCTATCACCCCCAAGGTTGCCTGGCAGAGATTGCTATTTAGCAATAAGGCCGCCTGTTGTACACTGTATTTTTGATTGTGTTGTATTTTTGCTTGTTTATTGTGCAATAAAGAATATTGAATTGAATTGAATAATTTATTTTATAGTCCATTTGCTTAGGTACTTAACACAAACAATCTTGACACATCTTTTTATTGAAACATATACTTTACAAATCAATAGGTATAAAAATAGGCATGCAATTTCATATGAAATTAAGTGTTTGTATTTTGTACTTGAAGGTAAGTAAAAATCATTTTATTAATGTGTATTTCATTAAATAGACATCTCAAAATTGTCTACATTTAGTTAAGTACCTAAACAATTGGACTATAGATAATTTATTTATGCAAAAGTATTGTAAGCGTGTAGCTTACCATCAGGCGCACACACACTTGTACATGTCAGTTCCTCCCGTCACTTGACATTAAAAAAACAATTACTAATAACAATAATGTGGCCAGACAATCACGTCGATTACCCAGTTTCAACATAATAAATTCCCATTACTATGTACTCTGGGGCAGAATTGTTGCAGTTCTATGTTATTCCCATATATGTTCCATCATAAAGATAGTAAAGAGTTAAAATTAATGCAGCCTGCCTCTAATAAAATTGAGGATTATTTTATATAAGTGTTGTATTCACTGTAATATGAATTACTAATGCAATAACATCACAAAAGTGAAATTATGCAGAAATACTATTTGTTCCAGGCTTTTACTGGATGTGTCCAGCAACTGCTTGAATCCGCAGAAGATCTCTGGTGAACATTGCCACAATTAATATTACCTTTTTGTTCCAGGTCTTCTACATTTAAGGACAAGAATATTGTTCACAAATATGGTGAACTCACACTTGTGAATCGAAGAGGAAAGAAATACAAACTGTCCAAACTACTTGTAAAAAGCACATTTGCAATGTACAGTGAGAATATTTTCCTAGAACTACTTGAGTCTGGTAACATCAAAACAAAGTTATCAGACGAAAAAACTGAAGAAATGAAATCTATTCTTAAACAATACAAGACAATGAAGAAATTAGGTTCGCGGCCAATTAAAACAGTACAAACATTGACAGTTGAAAAACTAGAGCTACATAATAAGATAATTGAAGAGGAAGGGTTAGATTTTTTAAATGACTCCAATGCAAGTGATGAAGAACCTGTAGGACGGGGGATCAGATCAAGAGACCGTTCTGGGAAACAAAGAAAATACATTAAAAAACAAACTGAATTAGAAGACTGTCCAAAACCCATAGAAAGCTGTTCTGACTTAAACCAAACTCATGTTAAGTCAACAACTATGAGTTTAAAAGCAGAAACTTCACCGAAAAGCCTGTGTTCTTTACTACTCAAAAGGAAATTGATTGTTAAAGAGAATCAGATGAAAGATATTCTTTCGTCAAATGGTTTTAATAAAGATGAAAACAAAATTGAAGAATTAAAACATAATCGTGATAATGTAAGGAACATTCCATACAAAATAATTTCAGATGGAGAGTTCAATTTTGAACATGACAACAAAATAAGACAGGTCACAACTATGAATCAAGAGACTCATATCAAAGTTGAAAAGAAAGAAGAACCTTCTCTTGAAATTGTTAAGAAATGTAAGTATGTTAGAATAGTTTTATATGTCATCTGAATGTATTTAAATTCATGTAAGACATTGAGATGAGGCAGATGGAACTCCTCTGCATCTTCTTATCCAATGCTGTCCCTTGATGGGCGCATGTATTTTCGTACTGGGAAGGCACGAGTCACAACCAGGAGTCTCTATGGTAGACTAGCAGCATCTCGCACTTTCTGTCGCTCTCGCGCTAGTCACGCCCTGTCGTGCTAGCCCTACAAAGCACATAACAACTGTCAGAGCCAGGAAAGTTCTATAATTCTTTAATGCTGTTGACCTTGGCTCTGAACTAATTAGTGGTGATCAAATAGATCAGTAAGAGACACTGGCGATTTGAGAGGGATTTGAAAGCGACACGACGGCGACGGCGAGGCTTGCTCGCCGCGAGCACGCCATGGGGGAGGCGAGAGTCTACAATAGAATAATAATAAATAATAAGATTAACGGCATATGAAATAATAAACATGTTTGTAGGTTTTTGTATAAAACAATTTTTAGGTTTTTGTATAAATGTAAGTTTCTTTTAAACAATGAGAAGCTATTCTATTTAGATTTCTGCAATATGGTAATGTGCATTGCCTAGTTATTATCTTTAAACTTACGAAATTGCATTGTATATATTCTAAAATAGCAAACATTTCTTACTTTTAGCAAAAAAATCTAAAACTGCGAAGAAATCTACTACAATTCCCGAATACAATGCCATCACACAAACCTGTGTCAAATATGGGCCACCAGACGCGGATATTACTAGTTTGCCACCCAAAATTGTTTCAAAAGAGCAATTTGATCAGGCTCGTAGCCTTAAACAAATCTTTGAAGGACCTGATAAAGAAGTTCCTGTCAGAAAAGATGATTATCAAGACGAAGACTCTGATCACTATGTATCTAAACCTTCACAAAGACAACTAAATGCTGAAATTGACATAAAGGTTAAAAGTTTTGGGATACCTGAAAGCAAAAGATTTGATTTTAAAGAAGCAAAATTTGGTATTGAGATGGAAAAAATGAAACTGAAGCCTGAAATTTCAAAATTGATTCATATCGGAGATAATGGCATGAAGAATAACAATGAGACAGTTGAAAATAAAAACACAGATGAAGAAGTGTGCACAAAAATCCACGAATGCTCAGGCGGAATTAAAAAATCAATAACAAGTTCATTGTTACGCAAGAAACTCCAAATACATAAAGAAAATTTAACGAATCAAAATGGAAGCTCGTCTACTGTGTCTGATGGTGCTGATGCCAGTTTTGAAGATTCGTCATCTGCTTCAGGAGGTATTAAAAAAGTTATTAGAAACAAAGAATTACATTCTGACGATGAAAGTGTTTCAGAAATTTTAGAGAACATTAACGCCAAATATCCGAAACCAGTATTTAAACCTGAAAAAACAAACCCTATAACTCAAGATTTAAAAAACCACGTTAATCCGTTTAAAAATATCGATCCGCACATGTCTGTATTTGTAGATAAATTAGTCTCACCAATTCTATTGGTTCATTCCAAGATGAACAAACGTTTCGAGCCCTCTTTCAAAATTCGCGACATAAATTTCAACAGTCACATACAGATTATTCTAAAAAACATGAATGTTGTGCAGCCGATGACATTGCAAACTATGTCTTGGTTTGCAATTTTGAGAGGCTACAGCACATTTTTGATTAGTCCTAAGGGTAGTGGGAAAACTATGGGGTACCTGCCGGCAATTTGTAACCTTATAGCTGACAATGATTGTGTTATACCAAGCACTGGCCCCATATGTATTATAGTTTGTGCCACTGCCGTATCGGTATCGGCGGTGGAAAAATTGGCAAAACTCTTTTTGAACAAACACAAAGTTCTTGCCTGTTATACAGGCATGAATGAGTTAGATTTAACAACATCACTACTTAACGGTTGCGATTTGTTAATCACAACGCCTTCGCTTTTAGTGCGACTTTTGCAGACCACTGAATTCGGAGTCGATTTTTCTCGACTGACAACATTTGTGCTTGATGACTGCGAAAGATTGGCCGAAGTATATGGTATGGAGATCAAATTCTACCTCGTTAAAATTAAAGAGATGCTCAGAAATCGAACTGTGAAGGAACTAAAGGTTCAATATATCCTTACGTCAAGAGTTTGGTCCGATTTCATGGAGCCTCTTGCGAGAAAAGCAACTGATACTGTAGTGTGCATTGGCGCATTTCAGGAATGTGTTTTGTATTCTAAAGCAAGCACAACTGTGTCTTTTCTGACGAAACACAGAAAGATTGAATCGGCCCTTGAATTTGTTAAAAAAAGTGATAGAACTAAGAGGACTGTTATTGTATGCCGATCAGATGAGGAAGTCGAACAGCTTGAAAAGACTTTAACGAGAGCAAAGTATACTGTTTTTGCGTGCAACACAACGATGACTGTTCACGATCTCTACAGTCTCAGCATTGCATGGAATGAGTACAAAGAGCCTTTATCAAGTCCGATCATGGTTTGCTGTGACGACAATTTGAGCCACATGAACATAACAGACGCTCATTACTTGGTGCACTTTTCGTTGCCTGACCTCTTCTCAAAATTTTGCAAGAGGTTTTCAGTCCTTAATGACAATTACGGATCAATTTTTAAAGAAGACAACGAAAGTGTTAAAATAAAAGTGCTATTGGAAGAGGACAATACAGAACAGCTGCCGAAAATTCTTCATTTCATCAAACGATGTACGAATGACGTGCCAGATTCTTTGGAAAAGATTTGTGAATCAATCGTATCAAAGAAAGAACTGGCGAAAGCGGAGAGAATGGTACCGGTTTGCGACAATTTACTAGCATTGGGTGAATGTCCAGATTATTGGAATTGCCAAGAACGTCATGTACTTTCAAAAGAACACGATAAGCCAAAAGACTGGATTCCTGTCAATGGAGTGATTACTTTCAAAATCATTCATTATCACAATGCGGTTTCATATTCTGCAAGATTACTTACGCACGTGAAAGGAGCAGATATCACAAAGTATCCACAGAATTATAATATGCTTTCCATGAAGATTTCTATGTACTTCAGCATAGAGTCTAATAGAAAACTACACGGGATCCCAGAAGTTGGCGATATTTGCGCTGTTTGTGTCAGACAGAACTTTTTTCTCCGATGTCAAGTGATGAAAATCTTGAATCGCTACCAAAATGGAAAACCTAATTACGTTTTAGTCAAAAAAATTGACGAGGGAGTACTGGAAAGAACTAGAGACATTTACCTGCACCATTTGCCCGACGAAATGAAAGATCCGGAAACCTATGTTGTCCAAGTGAGATTGGCCAATATACAACCAAAAGATAAAGATATTACCTTCTCAGCTTTGGCTATGGAACAATTGCAAATGATCACTGAAACAGACCTGGACTTAAATCTAAGAGGCCATATAGTTCTTACCATTGGAAATTGCATTCTTGTTGACAGATTAGAAACATGCAAAACTTTGTCAGTGACTGATCAGATGATAATAAGACATGACATTAGGCAAGAACTTGCAGCTCATGCCATTGATAATCCTGAACATATAATGAAACTGGAAAAAATATGCAAAGATAGTGACTTTGAGATTGTTCATGAAGAAGAAATTATAGAAGTTCTGAAACCAGTAAAAAAGGTTGTCAAACCCCAATGGGCACATTTGGAAAAAGATGATCTTTCGTTAGTATATTTCGCATCTGCTTTGGATCCAGGCACGTTCTTTGTTCGCCTTGTGAAATTTGAAGATTCCTGCAATCGTCTCATCAGAGAGATTGAAAAATATACCGAATTGAATCCAGAGCCTATTAAAGATGTCACAGTAGGTGATATAGTGTTGGCAAAATTCTCCGGTGCTTCTTATGAAAGAGCTAGGATTGATGATGTTATGAAAAATAGGGTTAAATGTTTCTTCGTTGACCAAGGTGACTGGATGGAAATACCACTACAAGATTTAGCACCTATTCCTGAGAAGTTTGTCACTCAACTGCCTTTCCAAGCAATTGAATGCCGTTTATACGGCGTCAAACCAGTTAGGGAAGAATGGACAGAATTCAGTACAACATGGCTTAGCAATCATTTCGAAGATGATTCTGGTGACCTTAAGCAATTATATGTGCAATATTACGTAAAAGAAAAAGCATTGCACACAGAAGGAAATAAATATGCTGTTGTAATAATGGATACAACGTTGGATCAGGAATTAAACATTAACAAAATGCTTGTTGACGTCAATTTGGCTGATCCTAATGATGACGAATGGGGACGAATAGATGAATTAGTATCTAAAAACAATATACATCCAGAATTAACCGAATCACAAGACGGAAACAACATTTCGGACGATGAAAAATCATGGGAAAATGTACGCACAAATTCTACCACGCCTGAAATTGTTTCACAGTGTAAGATTCCATGTAATGACCTGTTTCTAAAAAAACCTTTGAGATCTGTTCCCTTAGACTATGACACTGATAGTTCGGAAGAAAAGTGGCAAATTAATAATATTAAAGATTTCATTGGAATGCTTAAATCTCCAGGACAAAATTTGGATAATACCCCTAAAGGAAACTTACTTGCTATCGAAAATACTTCACAGAGCAGTTTTTCTAAACTCGAGAAAGCCGAACTTGATAGTGGAACTAATTTAAATAATGACGACTCAAGCGATACTTCTTCTAGTATTCTAGAGAAAATAAGAAAATCGAAAATTGTTTCTGACGTTGATAATTTGAATGATGTAAGCACAATTGCTGGGAAAATTTCCAATACTTTCCATATAGTGTCATCTGATGCAAAAATTTTGGACTCAGATGATTTGACAACTCCAGACATTACAGATGGGAGTGTATTAAGCGGAACAGAAAATCAAGAACTGCCTGCAAAAGAACAGACAAAAATCAATGACCTTGAATTACGGAGACCCAAACTCTGTTGGCGTCAAAACAACGAGTTTGTTGTTGTCAAAATCTTACTAATTGGTGTTGAGAAATATAACATAGAGATACATGAACGTTGTATTAAATTTGGTGCTGTAAGTAATGATACACAATATGGATTCGATCTAGAACTATACGGTGTTATTGATACCAAAAAGTCTACTCATGAAAACAAAGGCCAATACATTATCGTGAAACTAGGGAAACTTTTAAACAGAAATTGGTTGACGCTGGCAAGGAATGGTATTCAGAAATGGATAGTATATGACGTAGACTCCATAGACACATCATCAGATGAAGATGAAAGCGTAGAGATGATCACTGAGGACATTATTAGGAATTTTTGTAAACCAAACTCTGAGAGCGAAGACGAAGAGTTTATAGATGATGCCAATTTTACTTATACTCGATAAAATATTATAAGTCTGTATTAACATGAAGTTAGAAAAATATCATGGATCAAGGACTCCATGTACTTCCTCCATTTTCGTGAAATCTTTCTTATACGCTTATTTATTTGGGGATCTGTTTTTAAAGACATTCCTATCCGTTTTTTGGGACGTACACGGCTTGCACGGCAAAAATGTTAGGAAAGCAAAAACATATTGCAAATTGTCGACAACCGGAGGAAGTGTAATGGACCATCTTGACCCCGATTCAGAAACTCTTCGATGTTTTAACCGAATCGTTCGATTAGATATCGTTCTCGAATCGAAGGGCGATTTCAGAGTTATTCAGAACATTCGAGTATTCATAACGAGTTAAACGTTCGATTCGGATATGGGATACGATATCGTTATGCAACAGCGTTTACGGAGTTAGTCGGTGAAATAGATTATAAGAAAAATGAAAATCCTTTTTTATTCATTTTTAAGACTTTAATGGCCTAAAATATATGAGTGCACTAGTCTTGCATTAAAATAAATTAATAATATTGAACAAAATCCAGACTTTATTTGAAATAATAAGAGATTTCCGTATTACATTCTTGCTTTGTAAACAATAGTACGTTCGGTCATTTTCATTCGACGGGTGTGACGTAATTTCGGTTCGGTTTCGAATACAACAGTTTGACGTTCGAGTCGGGTGTTGTGAATAAAAATGAAAAGAAATCGGTCGACAAATGAGTTACCGTAAGGTTCTGAATCCCTTATACGAATTCATTAAAACCTGATTGAAGGAAAATGGTTGTACTATATGGAATGCAGGACAGCGATAAGTTACGTTGCCAGATCTCAGAAGAAATTTTACGTGTAGATTTTTTTAGAGACCAGAATGGCGTTTAATACACCGACAAGAACCTACACCTTAAATCGTGAGTGAGAACGCATTTAAGTAAAAATGTTTTTTCGTCATGCAAGTTAATCAAAATCATTGATCATTTACTCCTAAAACAGTTTTAGTACCGGAATAGGACCATCGTCAGCCTGGACTTTGGTTTATTTCGTTTTTATCGTAAATGACCACAGACATATATTTTATCTAAATAGACGTCGCAAGTGTACTTACTTCGCGTGCCCAATGTAAGCTAAACGCTTAGTTGGCGTTGCTACGTTTCAGAATACGCCCGGCCGTTACCGTAGTAAAACGTCAGTAGAAAACGCGAAAAATGGATAATTATGTCATTAGAAACTACAAAAACACCACCGCTATGAATAGATGAAAAAACAGGGACGTTACCTTCCGTATAAGCGATACTTTCGTATAACGCATTCAGTTTCGTGGTACGGGCACTGCTGGATTTACGTTTAGTAATATTCCCTTGATACAACACAGTTCTCGATTCTGATCGATTTAGGTTAAAAGGGGTGATAATACTTCAGACCCTAAAAATGTTATAAAAATATTGGATAAAGTTTGTTGCAGTCCGAAGCAACTTTTATCTTAATATCTTATTTGGGTATTATCTTACTGTGTTAAAATTTTTCTCGGCTTCTTATATTCAATAAATACTTGAAAAATCATCATTTAGAGGTGGAATATTTTCTTCAAATTTAAATGGGACCACTACAGATGTACTCTCTTTCCAGCAAAAAAAGAAATCATCAAATATCAATCAGCGTAAATAATCAATTAAAAATAAGGCGCACTGTCCATTCGCTGCCCGTTTTTTATTTTGGATTATATACAATTTCAGTCAAGGCGGTGTAGTAAGCGAAAAGTTTTAGCCAATAATATTATTTTTTTAAGTTTCTCTATTGAATGTTTGACCACCATGATATTCAATTATTTTTGTGATATACTACAGCAAATAAGTAGTTAAAAGCAAAAAGCAAAGATCTGCCTGCTGGCACATGGAGAAATTTGTAAGGTTCGTTGGTTCGTTCCGTAGTTTAGTTGGCATAGCATCTGAAACGGTTTGCTGGAAGACGTTGCTTCGAATCCAGCCCGATCAAACGAATTGTTTCTAAGTGTTCGATCCTTATGTTAATAATTATGACAATAATATTAATTTTAGATATAAGCTACTTTTAAGTACATATACCGGTTTGCTAAATAAAAGTAGTTGCTACACATGTGCTCCGGTCGGAAAATTGACTCCAGTGGCGTTAATGTTGCGTTTTTTTACATATTCGGTACGGGTATCAGCTACACATTCGCCTCTTTAAATATTTATCTCGTTCAACCTGTCACTCTGCATAATATTATTATAATTTAAATCTAGCATGAACAGGATGTATGTGGAAAGGAACGACTAGAAGCTGCTTAACCGCCGGTCAAATTCGTCAACGGCGCAGATGTATAGTAAACGAACCCTACATCCCACCTACGGTGGGATCGGGCTCGGCCTGCGGCGCGTGGTCGGGTTCAGATGATGGGGTGCGCTTATGCTCTTTGGTGGCACAGCGTTTAGTACTATGGGCGCTTGATGAAGAGGTTCCAGATTTGATTCCCGATTTGAGCCAATTTATGAAACAAACATTTTCAACTTGGTTCTGATCAGGGTATTCTAGATATTGCCCTCAAAGTTATCGTTACTTTGGTACTCATAGTACAGGAAATTCCCTAGTTAAGACCAGAAATTTGGTGTGATTGTCTGGCATTTTTTCCCCTAAATATTTCTCTTTGGTATAGCTTGCAAGAAAACAGAATCTAACAGAGAAATACAACAACGCTATATCTCATTTCCGCTACAGCGGGAAATTTGCCTTACATTTAAAACAATTGTGACATATTGTACTCGTAATACAGCCTCCATATACTGTCTACGTACGGTACATGCGAACGCTTCGGGCTTCGCTCTCCGCTAGACCTCGGCCTACGCCCTTGGCACTTATGACTTTGTTTTTAAAAAAATAACATAGCTCTTTAATGACGGCCATATTGAAAAATCGCGAAAAATTAATGTTGATCACAAATTATTATCATTACTCCTCCACATGCCAATTTTCAAATGTATCAGTAATTTTATTTCTACCACCAACGAACGCTTGTATGGCGGCCATATTTGAAAGTGGCGAAAAACCGGGCACAAATTATTATCCGGCAATTCTAGGCTTCCACATGCCAATTTTCAGCCGAAACAGAACGTCTTTTTCGGCAGCTATTTTTAACGAAAAAAACGCTTGTATGGCTGCCATATTAAAAATAGGCGAAAAAAAAACTTGCCAGCCAATTTTCAGCCGGATTGAAGCAAGTTTTTCTTCGGCCGCCATTTTGAATTCGCTGTTTTGAATTAATTTTGACACAGGCAGTAGATCACTGTTACCCTCTATGACATTCCTTCGAGCACATCGTACCTGTCTCTAATAGTTTCCGTGATCATCTTGTTTATTTGAATTTCAAACATGTTTTACGTCTAACGGAAATTGCCCAGGATTACCTCATAAAAGTGCACAAATATCCCCTTCATATATTATAGTTTTTGCAGGCCATTGGTGTTTCTTTTATATTTTTCACATAAGTACCTCTCATATTGGATTCTTTGCTTTGAACCTATCCGGGTACAACGATATAAATATGTTTTTTTCCACCATATTGGGAAGTTTGCGTTCTATTTTGTATTGTGTTCTATGTTGAGTGTGTGCATGCGTGCGTTATTTCTATCAGTGAGTCGTAAACTTGTAGCTTTGTATATAGCAAATACAATTGTTATATAGTATTAGTCATATGTTTTTATATTTTTCATCACACTTGCTTGTAAACAGTTTCATGATATGCAGGCAAAGTCGACCGTAATGTCCGAAATTATGCCCACGGGCTATTTCATTACATTATCGCCCAATGGATTTAATACGTCAAGATTATGCAAAAAGTTGTTATGCTCGAAAAATCTGAACGTATAAATTATAAGAACATTTTTTTGAGTTCAAGTTGTATTATTTATGGAAGAAGCGATATTTATTCATACAAGAAATAAATTGTCGTTGCATCTTTTTCCTCGTTAATGTGATGAAAAACATTGTAAGTATGTAGCACGGGCGGTAAAAATTACAAACCTTGAGTCATTAAAGCCCTTCTTCGGCTTCGGGCTTCTAACGAACTCTCGTTGGTAATTTCTTATTTAACGCCCGTAATACACAATGTACTATTACACTTTTGAACCACCCTATTACAATTCATTAAAATAGGGTACACCCACAGACATATATCTAAATAGACGCCTCAAGTGTACGTACTTCGCGTGCCCAAAGTAAGTGAATTCACTTACTTGTCGCTGCTACACTTCAGAACGCGTTCGACCGTTATCGTACATAAACATCAGTCGAAAACGCGAAAAATTGCATAATTGTGCCATTATAAACTGCAAAAGCACCATAACTGTGGGTAAACGGGTAAACAGGGACGTTTCCGTCCACGGGCAAGTGATTTTGTAATCAGAAGATGCATAATGCAGTTTTACTTAGTACGATATATTTGTGATTCTTTGTTAATACGCCATGAATATCGAACGAACGCACTTTGTATATGCATTCAGTTTCATGGTACGGCCGCTTGTACATTTCTTTGGCCAAATTTAACATTTAGTGATGTATACGTTAGGCAACACTGTTTTCGATTCTGATCGATTTTGAAAACAAAGGGATGAAAATTATTATGATTTTAGCAATATTATAAAAGCGTTCTATAACTCTTTTGTTATAACGTTTAGTAACGTTTCATTTTTTTTTTTTCAGTTTTGTAGTATCTATTATCAGTAGTATCAGCTGTAATTTCGATAATTTTTGCAGCACGTTGCCTCGAACGTTCTAATATAGTGTAGTAGTAGTGAGCAAATAATTACATATATCGCCGGATATGTAGCACGAGTAATACAAAAAAATATATAATGCAAAGTATTAATAGTGCGCTGTAAAGACAGCGAGGACAAAGGTGGTCTAGTTTATCCCACCTAAGATGCTATCCAAATATGCAGAGTAGCAGAGTTAGAAATCCGAGAACTAATAAGCAAATCACAAAAATTCCACACGAGGCCGTCATTAAGCTCCATATCTTTCTACGTTAGTTTTGATTATAGTGACCCTCCATACCTACCCTGAGGGCAAACGAGACAACCTGTGCGCGCACGGGAACCTTATAAGTTCAGATTCTGACCCGAGATCAGCCAGTGTACATGGTCGTCACAGACCTCTGTCACTTGACTTCATCCAGTTCTTCGAGAGACTAGTGCCTCGGGTGAGTCGGCCTGAGTGCACGTACAGTACCCTCCCTATTTTCCAGATAGGTGCATAAATATACTGTGACGATAGTATAAGAATGTTAATTTCTTTAAAATCTCACCGACACTCTGGGGCCCAGAGTGTAAATTGCCTTAATCTACTTTTGGACTTAAATTTCCCCTCAAAGATCGCCATTCTTTGCCGAACTTCTTTATCGGTCCTGGCTTCTAGCAGATTTCCAAAACCTTCGCCGGCTCATTGGTCCACTTTGAGGGTGGTCTGTCACTCTGCCTTCCATTACGCGGTCACCACTCGAGAACATTTTGGCCTAATCGGTCATCAG